GTGACCGATAATTTTACGTCGCCTTCAAATGACAAATATATAAGATAAGAAGCTTTTTTTCATGGCACAAATACACTTGGCGGTTTGCCATTGCACTCCGAGGGGCGGCCGCTATTAGATAACAACTTAGTTTTAGATGTCGCTCGCATTTGGGATCGTACCCTGGACCTGCCGAGTAGTAGTGCGCAGCTTAAAAGCTTAAATAATTTTCTAAAAATTTCCAAAGATGTGTGAGAATCAGCGTCCGCGACTGCCTATCCCATGACGTCATTAATTTTTACACCCAGCCGACTGCAGGAAGCTATAAGGGAGACAAACTAACAAAACCTGCCGTCTAACCCTAACTCCAATCATGTTTTATGAGGCTAAAGACACCAACCAACTCAACAAGTGAATGCTTGCTTGATTTTATTTTAGCGAATAAGCTTCCAATGAGTTACTAAGGGATAATAGCAGGTTTCTAGGGAGCACCTCTTCTCGGACCACCTCTGTACCAGTAAAAAATTACTGAGAATTCCGCTACTTTACATATTGTAGTACATATGAAATGAAACAAACTGGGTAAAATATAAAAACGTACTGTGGGAAGGGAAAATTCCTACAGAAATGCTTTTCCCGATAAGTAAAGTTTATCGCTAATATGTACCTGGCAAACCGATTCCCTCCAACATGGACTTAGTTTCTCTAGGTGAGCTTTTTTTTACAAATGTCTGTAACGCTTCATTAAGAGCTTTCTGTCAAAGCATCCTCCGGAACGCCATAAAGAAACCTGACCGGTGGAAATCAGAGATTTTAGCACTGTATTTTTTCCTCAATATGCTATTTATTTTAAGAAACCAAGTGAAGAGGTTCTAAGCAACCTTACAATGATGCTCTTAAAATCCATAATTAGCAGAGGGCTCAACATTAATTTTGGCGTAACTTTTGCAACAATGTTTTGAAAGAGTTTGAAAAAACGGTTGGCAAAATTCTTTACCAAATATTTTCAAAAATGAACTCCATCCAGAAGTCTCACGATGAGTGGAAATTAGCTTTTAGCGAAATGTTGAATATCACTTCCCGAGGTGCTTTGACAACTTCGCCAAGCCTTAAGGGTCAATTCTTCCCTACCTCTTTCCCAACCGACTAATATCAGCAAAGCACTTATTATGTCCTCTGGTCTCCAAATTTGTGTAGCCTGTGTTTGGGCGACTACTAACACAACTTCCACTTCTCAATGGCCATATATTAAAACTAAATTTCTTGAGTTATAGTTTGACGGCACTTCAAAGTATACTCGGGCTAGGACTATGCATGGCTTACTGATGGTTGCCATTGTCCACAGTGCCCACCCACTACTTTGCCACCATGGAAAAGGGCATACATATGCCAAGTTAAAGGTCAAATAAAGGATTGCTTCATACCTACTATTTTTTAACTTCCTGATCTTTTGTCCTTTTAGAAGGGCCTCAAATTCTCAAAGAGTTAAAAAAAATCGCTAAAAATACTGTGGAATGTGGTAATATGAATGCATATAGTACTTATACATACATATATAAAATTAAAGGTAAAAACTTCAGATATGAATAAGTGTATCTTATGCCTATTTCGTTTCTACCGAAAAACGCAACCTTCTCTTTGCCCTGTACGCACAAACACACTAAGAATGAAATCGCCATTAGAAAAAACAAAAGTGAAAATAAAAGACTTAAGCAACAAACTTGAATAGACTTCACAATTCAAAGTAGTTGTTATTACTAATATTGACTCACTCCATTTGATTAAAGAACTAATGCAAAATTAACTATTTTCAAGCGAAAAAAAAGCAATAAGATTTGAGCGAAGTTTTGTGCAAAAAGTATTTCAAATGCCAGCAGATGTTAATATTTATGGTTATTTTTATACGCTTAGGTATGGCCCTTGCTACCGGAGCACATGTGTTAATGAATGTGCAGGTAATGAGCGTCAGTAGCAGCGCATTTAAAGTGACTTTTGTGAAAGTGGCCGCAGTGAAATTGTTCAAAGCGGCAAAAATCTTAAAAAAAAAATGTCCAAAAATAGCAAGTGTACAAATATGTTTGTAGCTACAACGACGAGTCAAATCGCTCAAACAAGAATGTGCATACCTGTGTATATATGTATGTATGTATTTAGCAACACAGTTTACTTTTACTACATTTCACACTTCGTGGAGTTATCTATCGTATCTATAGAAATGCATGAATGTACATACATATGTACAAATGTAATGCAAAAAAAAAAAATGAAGTTGCCTGGACAGAAACCTTGGTCTATTCTTAACAATGAATATTTTTACTTTTTCCATCATACATAAATACATACATACATACAAATACGTCCGATACACATAGATATAAACATATTTTCACTTCAAAAAGGCCAGACATTCGTGTATATTCTCTTTCGTTTTCGGATGATTCCGCACGTTTCCGTGTATTTTTATTGATTTCATAACAACAACAACTTACAACTAAGAAAATGAAATTGATGTTAAAGTTGATTGAATTCACTGATTGTTTGCATTTTTAGGTTGTTTCAGGTAAAAGCGCGAAGATGAGTGTGTGGTAGCAAGTTGTTAAAAAAACATGTCAAACCTCATATTTTTAATTTCGAAATTCTTCCAAATGAATATCAAATATACAGGTGCGACCGTGAGGACAGAATGCGTTACGTTTACTTAGCTCTTTGCAACATCCCTCCTAAATAATTCTGCCATATCAGTATACTAAACACAGCTAGTTTCCTTAATTGAGTTCGTAAATGCAATGCTTACCCCTTCCGATTCTATGATTGTTTTGGGTGATTTTAATTTGCCACACATATCATGGAACATTATTGACACCGATGTTGCACCAGTTTCATCTAGAGATATTTACAATGAATTTCTAAAGGATATGACTGAACTTTGACTAAAACAAATAAATATATGTATGTCCAAATAAAAGGAAGGAAAGGTCTTGGATATCGTTTATGTTGATGATGTTCCGAAGTCCTCTATTAATCGTTGTGATTCCCTAATTTTGTCAGAGGATGTATACCATCCCACTCTTGACTTAAGCTACGAAATCATAAATGAAATACCTAATAATAAGTTGTATAGATCAAGTACTAGATTGTATAGATCAAGTACTAGATGTTTTTGTGAAAGCTAGTTTTAGAAAAATTAACAAAGAACTTTCAAAGTTATCTTGACCAATATATAGAGATGACCTCGAGCGTAGCGTTGAACACTTTAATGATACTGTTTTCAATTTTCTTCGAAAGTCTGTACCAAAACGTAATATTGTTCATGAAGAACCAGCACAATTATGGTTCACTAAAGAGCTTAAAAAATTGAAAAATAAAAAGTCACATTCTTTTAAACTGTAACCGTAAAGTACTCGGTTTTGCGTCATAGCTGCTTTGCATTAAATAAGAATTGTTATAAGTAAAAATAGAAAGCATTTAATTAACAATCCTAAATCATTTTATGGTTTCGTAAATTCAAAACGTAAGGCACATGGATTTCCGTCCGTTATGCACTATCGCAATACTGTGTCTAGCGACAGCCAACTCATTGCCAACATGTTTGCTCAGCTCTTTAGGTCCAATTATTCCGTAGGCTCCTCTACGAGTAAAGACTATCCGTATGAACTTTGTACGATTAACTCAGCTTTTATTCTAGTAATTTCTTCCTATGAAGCTTTACACTATTTAAAAGCCTTAAAAGCGTCATTTAGGCCTGGACCTAATCATATTCCGACCTGTTTGCTTAAAAACTGCGCTGAGAATATCGGTGAGTCTTTAACAACTCTATTCAACTTGTCACTAAAACATGGCGTTTTCCGTCAGCTTGGAAGGAATCTTTCATAATACCACTTCACAAAAACGGCAGCAGGTCTTCTATAGAAAACTATCGAGGCATAGCGAAGCTCTCCGCTATCCCCAAATTATTCGAAGCAATTATTGTTAATCAGCTGACATGTTCTATGTCTTCTTCAATTTCACAATCTCAACACGGGTTTTCAAAAGGAAAATCTATTATCACTAATTTATTGGAGTTTACAACTTATGTCTCAAACAATTTTAGAGAAAGTGCTCCTACCGACTTAATATAAACCGATTTTAGTAAAGCTTTTGACAAAGTATGTCACTCGTTACTCATCCGTAAACTCGATCTAATCGGCTTTCAGCCCACTCTTCTTCAATGGATCTCTTCGTACATCTCTGATAGAACACAAAGAGTTATTTTTAAAAAAATTGTTCTTCCAACAAAGCATATTTTTTCAGTGTAGTACTGAATGATCAAAAGGGTTTGCATTCAACCAAAATTTACAATCACGATGATTGTGAATGCTTCTGTATACTGCTTCTATACTGAATGGAACTCTACCATTCAAAAACACATTACGTTTGTTTTTTGTTTCAAAATAATCTAAGCCACTCAGGAATGAGGTTTTTTTATATAACCAAACAATCAAAATTTTGAAAAGAATGCCGAATGAATGCACATCCCACTGATTCAATCATTTTCCCTCTGGTATTGCGCTGGTAGTACTAGTCAAATTTTCTGCAGGGTTATAGAGTGTGATCTTTGTACGACGAGAACACAGGTTTTTGACTTGGGTTCGGAAGGAAACACTTGCATAGCGTTGCAAATTCGCAGGGTGCACTTGATGATTCTTTTTATTCGTTATTCGAAAAAAAAAATTTGTTTGATGGTGCGTTTCCTAACATTTTTGCAATGTGCAGGTTTTGAATATTTAATTCTTCAAATTAATTTGTATTTTGAGTACGCAGTTTTATAGCCATTAGTTTTTTATTAGCGTTATCTACGTTCTTTGTTATGTATTAAAATACTAAGTATTTTTTATTTCTAATTTACATACATACACAAATATAAAAATAATTGATAATTAATTTATGTTGTTTTATTTTAGAGTCAAGTTTATGAAGATGACGATGTTTTTTTTTTACCAAAACATGTTTTTTTTTATTAATTTTCAATCGAACTGTGAAATCTGCTATCTGGCAGCGTTGCGCTATTACGCAACACAACAAATTTCAGCCGGCAGCAGAAGGTAGATAGCAACTGATTACACGCAGCATCGCGAATTGATAACAAGTACCGCTACTGATAAAATAAAGGCATATAAATAAAACGTAAGTGCAAGTAATGCAGGGAGTTGTAAATAACAACAAATCGTGCACATGCAATAATGCTTTGCAATTCACAGTGTCTGGGGCATAGCGCAAGTGCGAATATGATAAGTAAAGTAAATTTGCAAACAAGTACTAATACACAAAAAAGGCATACAAAGTTTGCACCACTTAGTTTTAATCAATTCAATTTCAATATCACCATATTAACTGTGTACGTATCTCATCATTTCCAGACGACTTAGCGCAGCTCATCACCTAATAACTACCAAAATGGCAAAATTGGACGAGAAAATAGGTTTCATTGGCGGTGGCAATATGGCCTTTGCTATTGGTTCCGGGCTTATAAACAGGGAGTTTGTAAAAACCTCTCAAGTGATTGTGTCGGGTCCGAACATCGAGAACCTGGCACGTTGGCGAGAAATAGGCATTGCCACCACGGACGATAACTACGAAGTGCTAGACAAGGCGGATATTATTTTCATATGCGTAAAGCCACATATTCTAACACCGATGGCTGCTCAATTATGTAGTCTACATTCCCCCACATTAAAAGACAAAGATAAACTTTTTGTGTCGGTGCTGGCTGGGGTTAATCTCAAGACATTGGAAGAGGTAACATGAGTTCAAAAGTTGTCAAAAGATTTATTATTCGTTAATATTTACAGAAATTTTCCTTTATTAATGGCCTAAAAATGATACGCACTATGCCCAACACACCCATGCAAATTGGCGAGGGCATTACTGTGTACACACCTGGTTCCTATGTAAAGCAACAGGATTTGGAGAAACTACACATGATGTTAAACTCCCTGGGCATCGCCCAGCAAGTGCCGGAAGCTATGATAGATTCTGTTACAGGCGTAGCTGGTTGCGGGCCAGCATTTGTGTATACTATAATTGAGGCATTGGCTGATGGTGGTGTTAAGCAGGGGGTGCCAAGACAAATGGCGCTGCAATTTGCGGCACAAATGCTGCTGGGATCTGCTAAAATGGTAATGCTGACTGGTAAACATCCAGCGGTGTTACGAGATGAGGTACCTTGTTCACTTTATAATGAAATAGCACATTTTATTTTTGCTTTGCACATATTTTTCAAAAATAGGTTTGTTCTCCTGGCGGTGCAACTATTGTAGGTGTGCATGAACTGGAAAAGGGCAACTTGCGGTAACAGAATACTTCCCCTTGTTCAAACTTATAAAGTTTCATGTACTTTTTTCTCTAGTGCAACGCTAATCAATGCAGTAGAAAAATCCAGTCAACGTGCAGCTGAGCTTGGCAAGAAATAAACGTGCGGCTACACTCATTCCCATCCAGTAAAATAAAGCATTTGTGACAATTTTACCATGGAAAAAACTCTCGAACATTCATACCTTTATTCAGTAAAGGCAATTTTTCATAATTTACGTCTAATCATACTTATTAGCTAAATAATTAAATAAAAAGATTCGTGTTCGCATTTGCAAAGCTGATTATATGCGATCCTTTTTGCTTACGTACTCCACACATTTTGAGGGATCAGTTGGAAAATATTCTTGGCATTTGGTCATCAGCCGCTTCAGCCCCTGGATGTATTTCCGTTGAGTTTCATCGTTCATCACGTGCGCAACATTCTTTGAGAAAATCTTTTCACGACCTGTACGTGCGTGTATACCCACCATTGTCACACCAATCGGCCATGGCGCATTTCCTATAGCCATCTCCAGATAAGCATCACTGGCAGTGATATAGTCGCGATTGAGCAGACGTTTACAAATATCACGTAAACTATCCAATATATCCTCTGGCAAAGTGTGATGCTTTAGTTTACGGAATAAAGGTTTGACATACTCGCGAGTCTGGGTGAAAATGACGCGAGCCATTTTTGTTTTGGTGGACATTTTCTCTTGTTTGGAATAAGTGGCGATTTGGTCATTCCACATTTTAAGCAAAAAAGTTAACAAAGTTATAATAACATCCATGTCATATTCTTTGTTACCACGGCCCATTTTGACAGCACTCGCTTTAATGCTATCCCACGTTATTGTTTCATCCAGTTCGGCCAAATCCGATTTTTGTTCCTCTTTGGCTGTTGGTGCATTGGCAAACATTTCCTGTAAATATGCTTGATCTACTTGCTCCATGGCTTCTTGGAAATCATTGCGGAATCCACGGTTCGACTCAGGTTGTGAGATTTCGCACTGCCGCAAACGATGGAAAGCATCCGCTTCGGTCTCACCAAATATCAGAATTGGCTCGCCACGTTCGCGCAAGCGTCTTATAACTTCGGAGCGAGGAAGAACATTTTGTCCTTCCGAGTCATAGCTGTAGTGCCCTTCTGGTGCTTGGTCTTCCTCACGGCTTTCTTGTTTCTTATAGCCAACCTTTTGTAGGATCTCTTCAGTATTCTTAGCAATGAGTTCGCCCCGTCTAAAATATTTTTTCTTGTCATCGACAAGTTGCTTTTCCTCAAGCAATTTGCGTTTCCTTGCAATTTCAGCTTTAATTATATCCATTTTGTAAATACTTTCTTTACTTTTTTCCTGTACGATTTTATTTATTTACGTACATTCTTTATTAAAATTTTATTTATGATTTTCCTTTTAAGTGACATTCCGATCAGCTGTTTTCACAGTGTTGACACACGACTCAAACATTTATTTTGCCGTCAGAATGAGGCAACCCTGTGTAATAAATTTGGAAATGTCAAAATTTGTAAAATTATGCGAATTTACGGATTACGGTGTGCCAGAAAGTTAATTAAACGCGATTAGACAAAAGAAAACAAACAAAAATCTCAAAAATATATCAAAAATGCCAAAGAAAATGGGAACTAATTCGAAGGCAGTGGAGGCCCGCGAACGCAAGCAGGCTGTGAAACAAGCCAATAACGAACGGGCAGTGAAGGAGGCTGAGGATCGACTCTGGCAGGACAATGATCGAAGTCTTGCTAAGAAGCAACAACGTCGCGAGGAGGAGGAAAAGAAGCGTGCTGAAGCTTTGCGACGAAAGGCGGAAGCAAAGGTAGGTGTCAGTCCACAGTTTACGTTGACTATGAACAAATATATAAAGGCACATTTTTTTAACAGGCGCTACTTGATCAAGAAATGTCTTCAATTAAGACACAAGGTAAACAGCCACTGGCAAAGATTCATCGTCAACAAATCTTGGAAGAGATGGAAAAGAAACAACGTGTTATCGAAGCCATAAACGCAGCTAAGCCACAGACGGGAGCACGCATAGTATTACCAGAGCCAGTCATCGAAGAAAACTTCAATCGATCTATGGCGGACGTAGAGATAGCGACAAATGTCGATCAAGCTTTGGCAGCTTTAAGGTAATATTCACATATACATTCATGTAATTGGTCTTGTATAGCTGATTATCTGTGGTGTTTTCATGCATGGCAGTGTAAAAGACGATGAGGAAGACAAGCATCCTGAGAAGCGAATGCGTGCAGCTTATCGAGCATTTGAAGCAGCTAATCTCCCGCGTATTAAAGCGGAGAACCCATCGCTAAGGATGACACAATGGAAGCAAATACTAATGAAAGAATGGAATAAATCACCAGAAAATCCATTCAACCAAGCACGCTGATATGTTTCCATTCGCCATTGGTATTGTGATCAACCGACTGATTTACTGGATCTGAGTTTGGAACATAATCGAGTGCTCGCGGCAATCCCAAGTGCTGTTCTTATAATTTTAATTGCTTGCACATATTCCATATAGTGCGCATACATATTCGTATATACAGTTTATTATAAATCTTTTATTATTTAGTTGAAATATTTAATGATACACATATTATGGTTGAAACAAAGATAAAAGGTATGCATTT